TCATGAACGAATGACAGTGAATTTTCTCGCCGACACGTCTGAATTTCTTCCACAGTATGCAAAATTGAAATGCGACAATGTTGAAAGAGAACAGAAACACAGAAGTAGTAATTGAATCAAGTCAAGAAAAGAAAAGCAAAAGTTTCCGACAGCCAACAGGAAGAAAGCAAGGAGAGTAAAATACTTGGCTGCTCGGGTTGGACAATACCGTGAACTCACCTCACTGAATCAAGCATGGTTAGTATAGATAGTACTTGCATGATCGGGACGCGAGACCCGTTCGGCGTTCATAGGCGGTAGAATTACTTGTGCCTTGCAGCAGAGGGTCTTGCATTGTGCACATAGATGGGATTTGTATGGACGAGAGGAAAGGAAAGAAAAGAAAAGAAAAAAGTCAAAAATTGACCGTCACATTGTTGAGCGTTTTTACTCTGTTGGTTGGATGGTGGATGATGTTAATTTGCTTAGTCATGTGAGGTTAGCCTTTTCCAAGGTTGCAGGTGTGGTAGATACTAGGTAGTGGATTATTGCTTATTAGTGCGAGGTAAGGTTACTTTAAAAGGCTCTAACTGTGAATTCAAAGCGCTTGTTGATTACTACTCACTCGGTAGTTAACTACCTAACGTTCCAAGATTAGGTAAGATTACATCGAAGAGTCTTTGGCGATATCTAAAGGATTCATTACCTACCAAGATCTAATGATAAAACGCCCCTCAGTCAAATCACAATTATGCACATCCTCTTATTCTCGAAATTTGTCTTCTATACCCATAACTCACTCATATTAAAGTATAAATGAAGTATAACCTCAGCAACCCTCCTCCTCATCACCTCAAACTAACATCCCGCCAAAGCAAGCCCCGATTGACCCACAACCGACCCATCTGGTCCCAGCACTCACTATCCACCCCTCCTTCTGATTCTCATCATCTATGGCCGTTTTACCCGTTGCACGTCAATTATCAAAGTGTCTGAGCATTATTGTATGTCAAAAACCCCCTCCGAAAAATTGAGGCAAACCCGTCCATGTTAGAGGTCGAAGCGCAACTATGATCAATCTTGCGATCTAGGCAGTTCTGTGAGGAATGTTCATCATCTGACCGCGCCGCCACAGAACAGCCATCTGCTCGCCGAATAATTCCCTTTCTGGTATTGCTGCACCGGAAACCTCTTCAAGAGAATTGGGCCGTGATATCAAAATGCAAATGTAAGAAAGAAAGGTCTAGGGAGTCCATTTCTAGCTTCGTCGATTTCTAACGCTTGCTATCTCCATTCTTGTGCCCCCTACCCTCTCTGCCAAGTCAATCCAATATCAAAAACTTACTCAGCTAATCCCTCACATTTCGTGCTCCCATCAATCATGAAAATAAAAGTTATAAAACAAGAAAGCGTGGGTATACATAAGTCTCATCTATTCTTATAATCTTCGTTGCTCGTCACTTCTTTCTTTTCTTTATTCATCCACTGCCCCTCCATATCTATATCCGTTCCCCAACTCCGCTCACTCTTTCTCACAATGCTACCACCGCCAAACTTTCTTATCTCATTCAATCATTCCGCAACAATAGGTAATATCCTCAGGCTAAATCCAATTACACAATAAGCTCCCCAGCCCGCACCAATAAATCTTCTCTGCTTGAATCTCCACTAGGATTTATTCATTTATTTCTGCCCTGAGAAAAACCATGAACTTCTCTTTGTGTTCCCGGTGCTTCCTGTGTCCGAGTTTTGCAAGTTTCCGATGATTGGAATTTGCGCATCACCACCACCGCCTCTCAGTGGTTTGGCAATTCGGCTCCCAGCGCCACCAAAGCTAAATCCACCCGTAGGTGAGCCTAGACCACGGGTACTGCCTGCCTTGGCAGCTTCGAGACGTTCTTTTACCGCTGAAAGTTGGGCTTCGAATCTAAGGTTAATGTTAGTGATGCTATTGATGTATAACCGAAAGCAACCGGAAAGGAAGGCGGAAGTAAAGAGGGAATTCGAACCTGTGACTGGCAGTAGTCAATTTCTCTTGTGAATCTTGTAACAGACTCTCCAAACTCTGAATCCGTTCATTCCTTGCAATCAACTTCCTCTCAGCAATCGCAACTTCCTTCTTCAAGCTGCCATTTTGTTCAACCAATTGTCTCTGAACATGAGTCAATTGTTCTAGATTTCTCTCCAAGAAAGCCATCTTCTTTTGTTGAGCTCTATTGTTAGACGAACGGAGAACGTTGTTATATTGTTCGCGAGTCTCATCGAGGGAGATTTCTAGTTCAACCACTCGTTCACAACGATTTTGCAAGTCCCGCATCAAACTCTTCTTCATCACGTCGAATTCGGCGATCTGTTGTTGAACAGTCTTGCCGCTTGCTGAGCCTGGTGCTGTACCGTTGGATGAACCGCCTGACTTGACTCTTTGTTGCAAGTCTTCATTCACAGCCTTGAACTTTTCAATTTCAGCCGACTTTTGAGCGACCTCCTTCTTGAGGTCTTCCACTAATTCGACCTTAATGTCTTGGTTGTTAGAGTATGCCTTCTCGAGACGCTCCTTGATCTCAGCAACATCCCCTTCGCCTAGATTGCGTTCGAGAAGGTCTTCGTATTCTTGCTCGAGGACTTGGAGACGTTGCTCCAACTCTTCTCGGCGCTTGACATTGGCATCGTTCGATGATGAACCGAACATTGAAAGCTCTGCCTGTCGAACAATGCCCTGAGTCTCGACAAGTTTTGCCTTCAATTCTTCAAATTCTTCAGGGGGAATGGCCTCCCCGGCAGAGCTTTGCTCATGTAAAGAGTCAATATGATCAATGACCTTCTTGATAGTCGCTTCGTTCTCACTGAAAACATCTCCACCAAGATCAAATCCAGCCATCATTTGTGCCATCTTCTCAGCCTTTCTCTTCTCCTTCTCATCCAAGGCAGCAGTGGATTCTTTGGCGCTCATTTTTACGTTAAGCAATTGTTGCTTGAGTTCGTCGAGCTCTGCGGTCAGTTCGGCGTTGGCTTCTTTCAAACTATCCATGGTAATTTGTGCCTCTTTACTCTCAAATGCTAATCGCTCAAGTTGCATCTTGAATTCGTTTGCTTCACTAGTAAGTTTCTCGTTATCCTTGTTGACCTTGGTATCCCGCTCCTTTAGGTATGTGAGTTCCTCTTTGGTATCTCGCAAGGTCTTCTCTGCAGCCGCAATTTGAGTTTCCTTTTCCGTTATCTGATCTTGAAGTTCATTTTCACGTCGTAGAAATTCTTCTCTTTCGTCCTTGTCTATTGGTATACCTGGAGTAGCGGACCTTTCTGTCACCGGTGTCTCTGCACGGCTTTCTGTTGCGAGACGTGAAGGTGTAGATGGCCGGGGTGCTTGAGCTGCTGCTGCTTTTGTCCCACTGACGCCTGCGAGAGGGGGTGCCCATTGCTCCTTTGGTACAGATTCTCCCTTACGCCAAAGTTGAACTTCTCCTTCAAGTGTAGAAACATAGGTTTCGAAAGTAGTGACTTGAGATTGAGCCTTTCTAAGTAAGGCTTTGAGTTCCGCTGGACTGAGTTCTGCGTTGACCTTGGCCTTATTCTTGATTGCCTTTGCTCGCATACCGAATCTCAAGGTACTCAGAGTTTCTTCAGCATTGTAACTACTGGGCGAGCAGTTGATAATGAGTGTTGTCCTACTGTTTCCTCCTAAACTCTCTTGTAGAATTCTGGTGAGTTTCGAGTCTCGATAAGGAATATGCGATGATTTGCCGTCTGTCAGATTGTTGATAACCATACCAAGAGCACTCAAACTCTTATTGATCTTCTTTGCCTCCTCCAATGTCTGTCCACTGGCACCAGTCTTTCCGACCTTTTCGCTACCCGCCAAATCGACCAAGAAAAGTTGACCGCTCTTTGCCGACCCGGTTTCAACGTTCTTTTGTGTGATCGTTATAACGAATATGGAATGTGATCGAGAAGACTCTGCGTTCATGTTGGTCGAAGCTACCACTCTTGCATCCCCTCCTCTTTTCAGAACTTCGTAGACTTCTTGAACACTGGAAACATAAACCTCTAATAAACCTTTAACGTAAACGCCTCTATTTTTTTCTTCGTGGATTGGCAGATTGTCGTTCTGCGGCTGTAGCAAATCTCTAATGCGTTCCATATAGATTTCCATGTAGCTGACTCTCACTGTATACTCGATCGTACCTGGACTGGACAGAATGCTGGCGAATATTTGCTCCACAATTCTGGGAATAACACCTCTACCATCATCATTGTCAAGGTTTGTTCCCATCATAGTATACGACTTTCCCGCTCCTGTTTGACCATATGCAAAGACCGTTCCATTATAACCGTTGAGAATATCGTCCACAGTGGGCTTGATAGAGAAGTCGAAAATATCTTTCTGTCGTGAGCTCATGCCAAAGACACGATCGAATGTGAAAGAACCAGCCGCTCCATTTGACTATCTTTGAGGTTAGCAGAGTACAGCATCTTCAAAGATTTAAGTTTCACAAGACACATACATCAAGAGCGCAGGTATCATCAGCCTCGAATTTTACAACTGGTTGAGCACCCTGTTCATTCTCAATGCGATTCTGCGGCCTAAACCGACAGACAACCTTGATAGAGTTCGACATGATCGCGAGATGGTTGCTATCCCGGAACGACCATATGTACAACAGTCGAACTCAGAATTTATGTTGTCGTTGCAGTTTTAAAGAACGCTGTATGTGAGTATTGCTTTGTGGTCAGTGGTTGATAAGGGGAGGATGTTGACACACAATCGCGCTAAAGATCTTCGCGTAGTAAATCCCAAGGCCAATGCAATGTCGGAAGAAATAAATTTGTGTCAATGCAATGCGACCATACAGAAAAGGTTGCACGGTAATGACTAGGGATATGCTTGTGTGAGGAGTAATATCAATGAGTTGTTATGATTGTCAAACAGTACCAGTTAGAATACTTTTTGTACGGTGTGATGAATCCAGAAAAGCAAAAGAAAATTGCTCAGTAAATCCGTGGTTCATTTTTAGTCGGATTTGCTGTGTTACCATAGGCACCGTATGGCATGTATGTACATTCATTATCTACGATAGGTAAAAGCAGGTTGTCTGAACAAAATGATATACTTCAGAGATATCGAACAATGCTGTATGAGATGCACCATGGCAGCAAAAATGTTGTCCTATTGACTAACTCTTCGAGAAAATAACCATATAAACATATTGTGAAGGGAAACTCCATGATAGATGCCCTTTCGAAAACTCCATAACCCCGCCATGTCATCATTAAAAGAGGCGTAACGTAAATATGACCAGGTAAAGAATCACGTTGAATGTGCTTCAAAGCAGTTCAGCTACTATATGAGCTTCTCAAATGTTCGAAAATCCATCATCAATTATCCTCCCAGCTCTTTTCCACCGTTTCCCTGACACGCTTTGTGTATTCTCTTCTGTTGTCTTTGTATAAGTTGGAAGCTTCGACATTGGCGGGTGAGCCAGTGTTTGGGTCATTAAGAAGACTACTCATAGATTAACACATATATCTGGAAACCAATAGACCATTTGCGAAGTATTGATGTACCTTTGAATACTTGTTAAAACAGCCGCAACATCATATGTGGGACTCCATCTGTTCTGCAAAATATCTAAACACAATTCTCCGGTTGCATAAACATTAGGATGAAACATTTGGCTGATGAACTTGACGGCAGGAGGCTTATTTGGATATTGTTCCTCGAAGGTCATGACCAGTCGAAAGGTTCCATCTTCAAAGGGAGTATCTGCAGGACCGATAATGACAGCATTCCTAAAAGTTTCATTATTGGCATGAAGTTCATGAATGTTGAATTTTCTTCGGGGAGACTAACCAAAGCATCACATTATCTGCAACAGGAGATGCGGAAACACCAGCGGGGGGATCAGTTTGCATGCGCTGTAGATGAGAGTTAGAGTTCCTCTCCAATTATTTGGATACCCCTCCATTCCTGGATAATGATTGCCACTAACCTTGAAATCCCGCATGAGACGACGACGAGCAGCTGTAGACATGATGGAGAATTGTGCGAATGATAACTAAGAATCAAGATGTGGAGTTCTTGTTGGATCAAGATGGACTTGAATGAATGGGAATGTTTTATTATTTGAGTGATAGCTTTGAGGTATGCCGAAAAGCAAGTTCTATCGGATAGATATTAGTGTCCGATGTGAAAGCCGGCGGCGGGAAGTTTATGTGGGCTGCCGCAAATGATGGATTGATGTTGACTTTGTGTGATGAGTCTATCGGAAAGTTTTGATTGGAAAGGAATGAAATGGCCAGTTCCAGAAAAACAAAGAAAGATTTCTCAATTCACTTTCACGTGCTCGAGGTCATACAGAGACCTATCCAGATCTCACGATTTTGTTGATGCGATTCGAATTTTCATTAACAATGACCCAGTACGTACGGTACAGCTGATAGACCGCTTTCATTCAACCCTTTTGACCCCTTCATGCAAGATTTGTCCACCAGAACCGCCACGCACACAAGGCTCGAGCAAGGATCCTTGAGTCATGTTATCGTCGAGTCACGTGGAGATTGTGACTGCAGGCTACCTCAGAATAGGCTTAGTGGCTGTCGACCAACTACCCACGTGTAGGTCCGAGCATTTTACTCTGGGGTAAATGGAATACATTCCGCCGGTGCTAACCGCGGGACAATCGATGCTGAATATTGATCAGAAGCAACTCATTACCGTTTCTTCCTTTCTTTCCATAAAGTCTTTCGGCTTGATCAACGCTCTCATCTCTTGCGAATTCTCCAAACTCATTCATCATGTTTTCACATACTGCCAAATCTTCGATTAGAAATTTAAGGATGTCATCGCCATCATCACGGTTAGCACAAGTTCAACGGCAATTCAGCGCAAGTACCTCGGCCAAAAAAGAGATTCAAGATGCATACATTTTGAGTGCATCAAGGACACCTACTGCAAAGGTAATTCAATCCGTTTCAATATATCATTTAAATTTGACGAAAACTAAGCAGGATGACAGTTCAATGGGTCATTTCTTACCGTGAATGCCCCTCAACTTGGCGCTATAGCCATTAAATCTGCACTCGAGAAATCCAAAGTTCCGGTCGAAAAAATCTCAGATGTATACATGGGAAACGTATTGCAGGGCGGTGTTGGACAAGCACCAGCTCGACAAGCTGCTATCTTCGCTGGCCTCCCCTCATCAGTTGAAGCGATCACAGTCAATAAGGTATGCGCATCTGGAATGAAAGCCGTTGTGTTAGCTGCACAAAACATCCAACTTGGTCTCGCAGAAGCGCAGATTGCGGGAGGAATGGAAAACATGTCTCGAGTACCATATTACTATCCTCGAGCTAGCAGTCTTCCACCATTCGGGAATGTACAAGCTGAAGACGGGCTCATTAAAGACGGCCTATGGGATGTTTACAACCAATTTCACATGGGTGTATGCGCGGAGACTACGGCAAAGAAATATGAGATTACACGAGAACAACAAGACGAATACGCCATCCAATCATACAAACGGGCGCAAGAAGCATGGAAAGTCGGCGCATTCAAAGAGGAGATTGCCCCGGTAACCGTAAAGGGACGAAAGGGCGACACTATCATCGATACCGATGAGGGTTACCTGGATGTCAAATTCGATAAAGTTTCTTCATTAAAACCAGCATTTGTTAGAGATGGAAGTGGAACAATTACCGCTGCCAATGCTTCGACCTTCAATGACGGCGCTAGCGCATTGGTATTGGGAAACAAAGCCATTGCACAACAGTATGGAACCGGCTCGAGAGTATTAGCAAGAATTTGTGGCTCTGCAGATGCTGCAATTGATCCAGTTGATTTCCCAGTAGCTCCCGCCAAAGCAGTGCCACTTGCTCTAGAACGAGCTGGAATCAAGAAGGAAGATGTAGCAATCTGGGAGTTTAACGAGGCATTCGCAGCCGTTATCAAGGCAAATGAAAAGGTTTGTCCCACTTGATCGGGTTGATCAATGAAAATACTTACACAATCTAGATCCTCGGTCTTGAGAACGCAAATGTTAATCTACTTGGTGGAGCAATCTCACTTGGCCATGCTCTTGGAAGTTCGGGTTCGCGAATTCTCACAACATTATTGCATCAATTAAAAGTCGGAGAATATGGTGTTGCAGCGATTTGCAATGGTGGTGGTGCGGCGACGGCGATCGTCGTACAGAGAATTGATAGCGTATAATTATGATTTATGATGTTTGGACTAATTCTAGGTCCGGGATTAGGTAATTAAAATCGCAAGAACCCATTAATTTATCACAAATCATATTCTTTTTATTGGGAATACTTCAATATCAAAATAAAGATGAAACATAAACAACATCGGAATTGAAGTTCTAAAGCTGCCCAAACCTTTCCCGCTTACCTCTTTATGGAAAGGGGGGCATTTTTCACATGTCAACGGAAGGAACCAAGATCCTGGAAAGTTTATCCCACTTCGCTTGTGACATCATCGTCGCGATCAATGCGCGTGTTTGGTTCCAACATTTGATTTCTTTCAAAGATGCGCAATTCATTCATTGACCCTGCAATCGACATTCCTTTCACCCGGTAAAAAATACAACTTGATAGACTGCCACCAGTGTGCGCAATTGCAATCGGAGAGTGAAGGGATTCAATCAAAATGGATAATCCAAGTAAGTTCAGGATACAAAGTTAAAGGAAACTTATTCTCAAGCCGGGAGATTCGCAATAGCACCTCAGATCCCCCATATTACCCTCCTGTAACTTCTCTCCCTTCATCGCACTCCCTACTTTCCCTTGAATAAATTACTAATTATTGAATATAGAATCACAAATTACATCTCTGATCCACACCCTCTGTTCCGGGGCTCCCTCCGCCCAGCAAAAAGCTCTACAAGAGTATTTTACCCCAGACGCATCGTTCTCGCATCCGCTGTGCTCGGTACCTTCTTTCTCTTCTGTTCGACTGCCCGTGGTTGGAGAGGTCAATAGTAGATGGGTATTGGGGTGTGTGTATAAATGGTATAAGGTGTTGAGTCCAAGGGTTGTGGTGGGAGTGGATGGAGTTGGTAAGTTTTTTCATCATTTATAATTGGCATCGAGTGGAAAGAAAGGGAAAATGCTGGGGAAAGGGGGGAGAAGGGAGAACGGGGATATGGAGGAGGTCAAGGATAGAGGAATTGACGGGATTGAACTATGTGGTGTAATTTGCAGCCATTACTAATCTTCAATAACTCTAGATTATAATTCAGAAACGCAAATCCTCTTTCTCCAACTCCATCAACAATTCCACCTCTTCTTCCTTCCATATTTCTATCCAACAGTATACCTAACCACGATCCTTTATCTCTCCCCCGTCAAAGAATCTGCTGAAACCAGCGCCTCAGCATCCAAAACCAAATACCTTATAAAGCACCAAGAAGACCTCTATCAATCCGCAGAACTCGTGAAGTTTTTTTGGCCGGGAGGAACACAAATTATTAGCCTTTGGAGATTGATTGCGACATTGTTATGTATAGTAGGGGCGATGATATTTGCACCGATGACGTGGATGGAGGAGTGGGGATGGTTTGGAAATGGGATGGATGTGAAGAGGGGCGAGAAAGAAGATGGAAAGGAGCACGAGACAGGTGGTCGCGAGACTAATGGGGTTAATGGTTCGAGGAGAGAGAAGAGGAGGAAAACGATTAGTGGGTCCGGGGGGAAGAATAGATAGGATGATTTGGTGAAGATCAAAATTGTATATTTTTCGGGAAGGATTAAATGTAATTTTGGGATACGTTCGGTTGGATAGGGATCTACTATTAATTTTACAATAAGAATAATTTTGTTGCATATCTGAGAATCAATAATTTTGAGCATGCTTACGCACGTTAGCAAGGAGCAAAGAAATTCAGAAAGTTCCTCTATCGACGTACGAGGATAAAATTTCAGATATGCAATAAAACCTCCTTCGTTACTGAAATAGGATACCCGTTTTGAGGTCCATATGAAAGGCAAATTTCCAAATGCAGTGTTAGAAGGATAAGTGAGTTGTGAAGCAGACGAGTAAGTAGATTCGTACCTAGATAGATGGAGGCTTCTGAATTTGGTGTCAAAAATGGGCTATTACTGTTACAACTTGTGCACAGAAGATGGTAGGAAGCCAAAATAATGCATGCTGAGTTTTTAATTAGATTTGCTCTATAGATATACTAGGTAGATATGCGATACTAGTATACATTCTGCTGCTTTCTCGTATCTTGCTGATATTTTGAACATTTTTTCTGGTTAATGATGATACCATATGTTCCGGAAAACATATTCCCATGACCACCACTGCTAAATGATGCACCTTTCATTTTGCTCACTGAGCAGTTGGATCTCCATAGCCCTGTAGAATTTGGTCCGTCGTGGATGGTGATATGTTTTGATAGATTTGGGGGAGACTCTGGTGAGTCCGACTGGAGAGATTAGATGTTGAAGAATAATAAACATTAAGATGTGAAGTGTTGATCGTGAAGAGACAATGAGATATTAATTTGCTGGGCGGCAAATATTTATTTGAGATAAATATCAAAAAGGTCAATGTAAGTGAAATTTTCAAATTGAAATCGGCGGTACGCTGCGAGCAGTATCGATGAGCCGGTGTCGTTTTGTATGCTAAGATCATAGTCGCTAGGCATCGAATGGCCGGAATTGATGTGAAGATGTTGAATAAATCTGATAGGAGGCGGTAATAGCCATTAGGCTGTATGTTAAAATTGAGATTTGTAAAGACTGGAAGTTGAAGAAGGAGGTAATTTTTGCAAGTGAACTTCCATCCGACGTCGCTTTGTGTATCGAGCGTTCGAAAATTACGTGAGAGTGGCGAAGGAAATAAGTTGCTCATTAAGCTCTTTATAGTAAAGTTCAAAGTCCACAACGAAAGCTTGTTTCAAACATCTAGCTGGAAAATGAAGTCTCTGAGAATGACTGATTCGTCTCAGTGGTTACATTCATAAATATTTAACGATGTTCAGGAGATATTGAAGGACCAACGGCAATGGTATTGAACTGCGATGGGAATAGCTGGTAGCTTCATCTTTTTGTTATGGAAACGCTTATTCATCTTCTTGAATGTAATCTTCTTCAATGGAATCTGATCGATAAAATTGTTGTAACTTCCAGCGACGCGTCGCTTCTATGTGTTCCCGTCGCAACATTTGAGATGACCTGAGAGGTTTGAGCGTCCGAATTAGTAAACTTTGTTCCTCAGCTCTTGGTTTCGAACCCCTGCATAGTCTTCGTCCACGAGTCGGAGCTTCTGGCAGTTGAGACTCCAGAGCTTCATCTCGTTGATTGGGAGGTGGTTTATTGGCTTGTCGTAACTTCCGACGAAGCGCTTCTTTTGCCAGCCGTAAAGCTTGAGGTGAACGGCGGAGTCCATGAGCTTTCATTGGGGGATTGTGTTTTTTGGTCATTGATTTAATGCCCCTGTATAGTCTCCGTCTACGAGCCAGAGTTTCAGGTCGTTGAGCCTTAGCAAGTTTACGTTGTTGCGACTTCCAAGCGCGAATTCTGTTTCGATGGCATTTTCGCATCTCATTATGTCGACAGAATCTCTGTATCTCAGCATATCGACTGGATCTCTGCATCTCAACATGTCGACTGAATCTCCGCAATCTTAATACAAACGGGACCATGTATTTGTCTCTGAAAATTTGGTTTCGACGTTCAATTTCCAATTCCGAAAAGTCTGACATAGCTACAGTCGTTGTGCACAAGAGGCTTCGATACCTAGGCTGAGTATTCAGAATGAACAGGGAGATTAGCGTCTGATTGTAGTTCAAACGGTTCGAACAACCGATTGTGGTTTAAATCGATCGATATAATACTATTCGGGTTCAAGTTAGCAGGGAAGCAGATGAAGCCTGCAGATGAAACGAATCAAGTTGTGAACCTACAAGTCCCGATATTCGATGAGATATGTGTCAAAATGAAGTGTAAGTACTTCATCAAATTATTTGGTAAATTGGAGGTCGATGTGTCGCTATATCAAGGGCGAGATACAACTATCGATAGTTGTGAATGATGATGATTATTTCAATGGCAGTGATGATTGTGATAAGGAGATGAAAATAGAAATGAGAATTTTTTGGGGACAAAATACTTATACGGAGTTTCGGCACTAGATCTCTTACTGGACTAATCCAAGCGTGTCACTACTGGAAGCTTGAGTACGGAGAGCAGAAGAAGTTGCTAGCCCAAATCGGCATATAATGTATGATTAGATTGGTTCTAGGCCCTTAGAGATACGGTTGGCATAATGGTAGCCAAACCCATCATATTAAAATCCATTTTTCTAGAGCTAATGTGTTAGTTGGAAGTGACTGAATGCAGTACAATTTATATGAGTAAAGGTTTTATGGTTAGTTGGTGCGATTGGCGATCTTGGAATGCACTTGACCAATGCTAATTGAAATTTGGATATCTTCTCTTTGCGTTTTGCTCCTTCCTAAGTTTGATGGATGACGATTACATAGACTAGCGATGGCTAGGGAGAAAATATTGCAGATATGTGTCTCAAGTCTGAAGGAATTATAATACTGGTTCTCAGTGCTCACTATCACAAAGAAGTTTAAAGTGTTTTAGAGTTTAAGTCGAGTCGCATTACAGGAAAAAAGAGTCGTCCGAGGATGCGCGATGCTTGAATCTGCGGCTTGGCTCTTTTTAAACCAACTATCTTCTTCGCGGTTCCATCCAATTACAGTGAAAGGTGATCGTCGCCGTGAATCCATGTTGTGACGCTCCATTGTGAGCTCTTATCGAGGACGTAGTTGATAATGATTCCTCAAATTTCAGACGAAATCTTGGGAAGACGAGATATTGTGTTCTTGGTCTCTCCGATGAGATAAGGTCTAATCAATCATCCCTGCTTTATATCTGTTAGCTGGAGGTACATGTAATGATTGGTGATGACATTTGATTCGAGGTGAAGCAAAAGATCCGTGCGCTTTACGTTCATGCAGCCCTAAATTAAGCTTAATTCTCACGCGAATGGGAATGCAATTGATAGGCACTGGCAAAAACAGCTTGAAGGTGGATCTTTTCGTCCTTCTCAAACTAAATATGTACCGTTTATCTCGACATAACTTTCGATTAGAAAGTCTATCATGCAATTAATCATTGGAAACGCAAAATTACTCGCCACTTGTGGATGTGACGTGATTCTGAGTTCGTGATTGCTTCTTGCATTTCATAGGAACTGAATACTGGTATAAAATCATCAAGACTTCAAACCTGTAGCTAGTTCCATACACTCTAAAGCATCACTGATCACCTTTCTCGTCTCTTGATCGCCATCGGCATTCCTTAAGCCTTCTCTCCAGATATCCCACCTCTCCCGACTATAGCCGATCCATCCCTTCTTCTCGTACAAGTCCCCACCAGCTCCAGTTCTGTCTGGCATACTTTTCTCATTGTCGACATTTAACCGCAGTTTCTCGGCTGCAAATACAAGCCACCAGCATGCCACCCGAATTGCCAAATCCTTACTCTTTCCCTCTTTGTTCTCAAATGCATCGCGAAACACCCATAATGCAAAAAGTGAGAAATCAAGGGGCTCAAATTCATTAGCTCCAATGCTGACCTTGCTTGTTGCTAATAGTTGCGCTAGAAATGCGTTTTTGTTTTCATACGAAGTCTTTTCCCTGTCTGTCAATGTGGAGGAATATGCATCTTCATGGGAAGTTAATTTTCTGATGGAAATGAGTAGAAATGAGAAGGTAAACAACGAACCAATGTTGAAAATCTCATGAGCCTCCCACCCAAAGCCTGGCAACTGTCTCCATAATTCCATGTCATAATACTTCAAAATTTTCGACTGACTCGTGTCCCTGTCTACGACTTCAATCTTCTGAAGACCAAGGATGAACTCGACCAGTCTAGATTGTTGATCAGGTGATGTACGAGCGACGAGTACAAAAAGTGCACACCATGTGTCATAAGGATGATCTCTGAGCAGGTCGGATCCATTCGCGGAGGACGTCTTGTCATTTGCCCAAATTTCTTTCTTTGCATTAGCAATTGTATTCAAAGTGATGGCCGAATGAGCATTGAGAGCGGAAGACACATCCGAGGATGGGTCTTCTATGAGAGGTAAAAGAAGTACAAATTGAGGAGTTTTTTCAATGAGAGCAATATTTTTTAACGTGTTCGCTTCATCTGCCATCATTCTTTTTTGCTTGCGGGATCTAGGCATACTCGTATAGAAGAATTCATGAGTTAATTGCAACGTACAGAACTGAAAAAATGGTAGACCTGATTTAATTTCAGGATCCTATATACGAGACACGTGACATCTATTCTTATCTACCGCACCAAGCTATAACGTAATTTATCAGCATATAAGCCACTTGAAAACACACCAAAATTAAACCTTTTTTAATATTCTTATTTTAATAATTAATTATTATTTTGAAAAAAAATAGAATAAAAGATAATAATAGAAAATAAACTTTTAATAAATCTAATATTTATTTAAAAATTTCTATTATTTTATAAAGAAAGTGGAAATTGTTATAACGTGGTTTATCAGTGAGTAGGTTATATTAGTGAATGGGTCATTTCGAAAATTATCTAAATTAAGCTTTTTAAAATATTAATATTTTAATAACTAATTATTATTTTCTTAAATAAAAGATTTTAAAAAATAATTAAAATCTAGGTTTTTTATTAATCTAATTTTTATAAAATAATTTTATTATATTCTAAAAAGAAAAGGAAATTATTACAATTTTTGTTATAAAAAATCTATTTTTATAATAATAGTTTTATAAATTCAAATTTCTTAAAACTAATATGATTTTTAATATTCTTATATTGAAATATTTTATATCAAATTTTCAGAAAATTATATTTATAAATAAAGAAAATGCACAATTATACATAGATAAATTTTGTATATAAAATAAGTAATCTATTTATTGATATAACCCACTCACTAATAAACCACGTTAATAGTTATTATAAGAATAATATTTTTATAATAAAAATTATAACAATTTCTACTTTCTAATAAATATTCAAATTTTATAATATTTATATAATTAAATTTTCAAATTTTAAAACTTTATAAAATTATATTATTAAATAAAGAAAGTGTATAGTTATATATAAACGAATTTTGTATGCAAAAAGGGGTAGCTTATATGATAATATAGCTCACATACTGATAAACTACGTTATCAGTTCATAGCTCAAATATCTGCCAGGTGTAACAAGCGTTACATTGTGACGGGGGAATGGTAAACATTCGAATTGCTTTTGCTATCAATCCTGAAGGAGAAGAATCAAAGAAGAGAAACGCAGAATGTATCTTTAAGCATAGAGTATTCTTAGTCCAAACGTCGCTTTTTCGACAGAGCATTCCAAAATTCGCGTCAGTACACAGAGTCGATGAATTCGTGGCAGATGGAAGATCGAGAAGAAATGCAAAATCTGGTAGAAAACATATTGCGAAATCACTAGTCAATGTCAATTAGAGGTAATTTGCTTTAGAAATAGTGAGTTGATCGCATCCTTACACCATATTAATAAGTACCTAGGTAACTAGCAGTAAAAAACTCTCGTCTCATCGTTATCATCAGCAAAACAACTTCTCCAACAATCAGAAAACATTACAGTCTTTGCGCCAACGACTCAGGTGGAAAAAAAAGAAAAAGGAAAAATTCCAAAGCTTGATTAAAAGTTGTCCAAATACGACCAATTATATTTGCAGACATCTTGAGCAAAAATTATCCTTTTCGGGGAGTCGTTATCCCAGAAGAGGTATTATTCGCTTACAAAGGGACATTCCACTTCTACGTTTTTGCCATTCTAATGACTATCTAGCATTCAATCAAATTTTTAACGGTGTTTTCTCAGCAGATTGAATCTGGCGCATGCATGGCATCCATTCAAGTTACATACTTTTTTCCTTGGCAAGACCTATGCTTCAGGAACCATCTAATCCCGCTACCAGGAATAGAGAATTTCTAGAGCATGGCAAATAAACAGACTTCCAGCTTCTCAGCCATATCAACTCTATGCTTGCAATTGACAAGTAATGTTTTGATCTGCTAAAAGTTCATATCTCGAATGACACAATAAGAATGGGTCATCTTCTCCGCAAACTTCTCTCTCGCCCAGGATCTAAATTCATCACCGCCTACACTGCCATCTTTATGTTCCATCTCCCCGTCAAACCTGGATTTACGACTGCAATGCATGGCTTAAAAGCGCTCGAACCTCAGACGCCTTTCACGAGAGATGATATCCCCCCTGTCAAACCTTCGGTGCTCCAGACAGTTATCAAGGTCGATTCATTCCACGTTGAGATGAAGCTCTGAGACCGAAGCATGGCCATATAGAAAGTGAAATTGTATCCAGATACTGGAAAGAGCCGGCATGGAAATTTCGGCTACCGGTACAGTTTGCAGGGCCGAGGAGGTAACTTGGAAAGGGGTTGAAAGTTGCGTATACAGTAGTAGAAAGAAAGTTATGGAGATGATGGGACTGAAAGCTGTGTTGGTTGGCTTCTGCTTTGCTTAGCTGAGTAAAGTGCGATGGGATATGAATGTATCTGGTGAGGGCTGGTTGAGAGACAGTACAGGAGAAGAGGCATTAGACATTCGCAGAGTTTGGTCTGGAAACTAAGAATTTGAGCAATCTTGGAGAATTTAACTAAAAATGGTTTTAAATGATTGTCTGGCCCTGATAGGTTTCCTGCAATATCAATCCGGGAATTGGGCATAAAGTTTCTGTATACTCGGGTATCCAATAGTCAATTGCACTTCGACAATGAACATTCTATTGAGATTTATGCCAACATATATCTTGAATCGTTGGAAAATGAAGGAAATTTGATTTTTGAACCAGGGAATGACATATAACAAGAAATGATTCCTTGAATTTTTGGAATTGTATTCCAGTCCGGATTTTGACAGACATGAAATGAGGGATAAGTAAATATCGAAGCATCTTAGGGAAAATTCATGAGCGTCCCGTTTTTTCAGTCGTGAATGAACTACATGAAACAGTGTGAACATGGATATGATTCGCTAAAGACGGCGTTGACCCCTTTCTGTGCCCGGTTAGTTGATAAAAGGAGAAGCCTCTGATATGAATTATGGTCAAATACTTCCTGCCATGGATGGAATCAGTACAGCTTTAAATACATTTCATACTTATTAGTAGATGAGTGGTTTTTCAATTATTTGAATGTCAACTGAGGACTTGTGAATGTGAATCTTTCCGGCTCCTTAAGCTGATGATCTCTATCTCCAAGCAACTCTTTTGATATAAATACTCTACGACGCCCAGGTTTCAATATGAAGACAAACAAGAATTTCATTTATTCCAAGCTAGAACAAAATTAATTAGAGGCTAGATTACTAGTGGAATCTTGATTCAACATGAACAACCAGCACTACTTACCCCGTCCTGTATATACTGCTAACCCTCCAACTTCCAACCCTCGGACCTTCCAACCTTTCGACGCCACCGGCTGGCTCCTTGACACACAACGACAATACACCCAATCCATCCATTACCAACATCTCCTCTACCAGATATTCCACGCCTCCGATTACTGGTGGAATGAATTTCTCGCGTTCTGCGATGTGTTTCTACGACCCAGATTCTCCCTCTCAAACACAACTGTATGGAATTTCTACAGCACTCCACAAATCCGCGGAATGCGATCGGAGTATTTAACAGCAGGTCGGAGTTTTACAAACGAAACTGGAGAAATTTGTAACTGGTTGGCTTTTTGTCTTAGGGAGTTGAGAAATAATGATATTGAATGGCACTCATATGCTACAATATCTTCATTGGGGACGAGGAGAGAGGAAATTCGAAGTGGCAGACAAAATGAAATTTCGAGTGGAAGAAGAGAGAGAAGAGAGCGAGGACAGGGGGACCCTTATCTTTCGGTAGAATGGTGGTGGAGTGGGGATGTTATAGAGTTTACCTTGAATTAAGGATAAGTCTCACAAGCGATGATGATGATGATAGATTAGTCTCAATTGGGCTTTTATTGTCATGGTGGTAGCCCTTCAGCTGGGGTGGGTGGGAATTAGAGAGTAGTTCAGGTTTCCAGTTAGTGAGCCTTTAGACATCAGACATTAGTATAATGAACGTTGACATTCAGGAATAATGGCTTGTATCAATGACGTCTTCAAGTCCCCTTCAAAGAAAATTACACTCTGTACTTATGATTTAGAATTCATCATGTATATATCAAGGTTCTAGAAATTAATATAGAAATAGACTTTCGACAAGCTTTTTCTAATTTATCGGTACTGTGATATCTTCCCCAGGTTCCAGTACTGCTTCGGGGTTGACAACGGATTGTACAACAGTTGAACTTACAATCGTACCTATCGTCGAAATATATGAAGATCCTTAAGAAATCATCGCGCATTCACAGATCTGTGCCTATCAACAATATCCTAGCAGCTCATTTGCCCCAATGACGTACTTTCTATCCGTATTCTTGAGGAATGATCCAGCCTATGAAGTTTGATTCCTGAAATATGGATTTGATCACTCGTGTCATGAAGCCATATCTACACTTCACTTGAGAGATGTTGAGATCCCATCATAATTTAAACTCCAACAGTATCGAGAATCACTCCCGAAGAAATCGAAAAGATTTTATCAGTGGGAAGCCGTTACGCATATTGATATAGATAAAGAGATTCATAAATAACGGCCCATATATACAAATCTCCATTCGGTTATTGATATTTACAGATCACAAAAAACCTCGGTTGCTTAAGAGTAGACTTCAGAAATACAGGTCTGAAATAAACAAAGAATGACTCGTGAATTCGTGAATATAGTACAAACCGCGTACTCTATATACATGATAATAACATGACTTCATCATCTCCTGCCCCGACTTTTTCCTGTTCCCAGTACCCCATTCATCATTTCCCAAGCTTTTACATGCATCTCCACGTTGCGAATTCTTACAAGAATATGAGATTGAAATAAAAAAACCCGTCCACCATACCTATCACTGAACGCCATACCTTCTTTCACCATCATGCTTCGCTTGAAAATACTGGATGCTCCTTCCCTATTCATCTTCCTTAACCCAATTAACAACTCATTTCATCAGTTCCAAGGTCTTAAGTTCCCGTTCCAAAGAAGTACTCATCGAGTAAATTGATCCCCGCCGGTCCACCGCCCGCTCCGACACCCCCAACTGTCGTAACATCCCCCAAGTTCTCTCCAAATCCCATATCAAATCCACTTAAATCCCAGTCATCTCCCCCGGATCCTTCTGCACCACCATAACCCCCACCCGCATAATTCAAAAAGCTTAATCCCGGTGCATTTTGAAAATCAAAATTATAGGCGTTGCTGTTGCCACCGTTTCCATTGGCAGGATCAAATTGATACATGTCCGGATTTTGACTTTGGCCTGGAGCTGAGGTATATCCTTGCACTGGACTCTGCTGGTTCGGAAAATGGTTTGGATCGAGGTTCATGTTGTTATCTAGATTACTAAATGGAGGTGAGATGGCAAAGTTTGGTGAATTGATTTGTGAAGAATTGGAATCATTTCTGTAGGTTTCAAATTCCGTCTTCACTGCGTTATTCGAGCCCGTGCCATTTCTCGAAGTTGGCCTTTCGTTCGCAAAATTATTTCTGGGTTGATTATTGACAGATGTCTCCCTAGAGTGTCCTTTCGTGCCAGTTGGAGGAGGTTGAGGAGTAAAAAGATCATTGAGGCCCATGTCGAACTGAGGCTTCGGGCGATTGGACTGTGGCGGTTTTCGAAGCCGAGAACTGTTGGCATTGAAGTAATCATCTGGCTGTGATTGTAGGTGATGTTGTCCACCAGTATGATGGGGACGTCTTGAATGAAGTCCCTGCTGAGCCCCGGAGCCGAAACCAGTAGTAGACATGCACATCTGAACCGTGGCTTTGGACATGCGGTCAAAAGCATCTCGACATGCTTCAGCCGGAGGACATTTATCCATTAGATCCCCAAGGACAGACGTTGCGGCCAAAATTGTAAAGTCAACTTCATCCATTGTCTGAAATCACAATTAGTAACCAATTGAATGAATAAGATAATATATGAAAACCTACCAGACGACTTCTGACAACCTGAGAGTGCCAAATTGCATACAGGAATGAGATACCAGCCATGAACAAATGATGAGTAGCCAGGAAAGTATAATTGACAAGTCGCACTCGATGCAACTGTCTATACAATCTCAGAACTCTCTGTCCCGCCTCGGCAACTTTCAAAAAGACCCTTTCCTCATCTTCTCTTAGCTCCACATTATGTATACTGGGACTTTCGACCTCTTCACTGGTGCTAAATTCTCCTTCAAACATTGGTGGCACACTCAAGCTTTGTCTATACAGCATAATAACACATTGCCAATAATTGAGCTCCAAAAAGTCTACTGAGAACTCTACACCCATGTCCCGTTTGGTAGGAGCCGATGTTTTCCATTCCCAGAGGCGTTTGTCGATGTCAATACGCCAAGAACGGAAGCTATCGAATTTCACCAGGAAAGGAGATGGTAGTTGAGTATGCATGAAAGGATTGCGTAAATTTGCACCACCCGCTCGCGCATGCAATGCTTGTTGATGCTGCAACACCTGTAGAATTTCGGATTGTAGCAGTCTCAGGCGAAAGTAGTGATATGCCACATGCTTGTAACTTGATCCACCAACACCTGGGTCTTGCAGACCAGCAGGTGTGATATATTTGTCGTCGAGCAATGAAGGGAATTCTGTTGTCACCACTTGATCGGTAATTCCAAATGGTCTTCCAACGCACGTGGAAACAAGTCGATCAAAGGAGTATGTGCACCACCACAGTCTTCTCCTATAATCCCGGATATATTCACGACGGCCTCGTTCTCGCATCGTACGCTCTCGATGCAATCTTGCAGTCTCCGCGTCTTCGTTCTTTACTCCAGGTACTTCCAATTTTGGAACTTCAATATCCTTTCCATCTTCGTAATGCAGACCTAGATCAACTGCTAAGCGGACCGCTACTCCAATAATGTACCACAAACCAGGAGCCACAGGTCTCAATAACGCGAATCCTGCCAGGAGTAGAACAGCTTGGAGTTCCTCCAAACCGCCACCGAAACCATCGACTCTATCCACCGAAGAACTGAGGCATGCTTCGAGATGAACGATTGCTGAGGCGTGATATTCCTCAGGCTGGCTTTGTTTCCCACTGGTTATGCGCTTTGATTTGTCGCCATTAATCGTCTTTTCCGCCTCTTCTCGTGCGCCCGAATCACCAAGGAAAATTCCAGCGCCAATGGCAAACACAATGTTGAGCATATAGAGTTCTCGAGGCGTCCTGATCTTTGTATCCCCAGTCGCATACGCCTCCTCAAACATTTTCATGAATTCTCCTCGATGTAATATAGGTATTTGAGGATTTGCATGCTCAAAATAGAAGTCCACCAATCTCTTTCCAACATCCTTATCAGGGAAAGGGGCTTGTTTAATGGTAGGTTTTGTATGTAGGCCAAAGAATGAATCACGCATCGAAGTCCCCCCTTGTGCGGCAGCTTTCGAATTTCCTGCTGGTCGTGAAGGCCTCACACCACTATGATCACTAGCAGCACCAGAAACTGAAGATCTTACTGCTGCAAACACCACTCTTGCGAACGATATGCCGGATGTTGAGCCCAAGTATCTCTTATCTGAAGCTCCTTGGACGGAAACACTCTCAATATTTGACATCAATTTGTTCACCTTCTCGGATTCGTCCTGCCTCTTGTTCCATGTCGCCTCATCTTGCGCCTTTTTTCGCAAAAGAGCCGTATCCCCATTGAATGCTGATCTGCCATCATCACTGGGAGTCTGCACTGCCGCAGGATCTGTCCCTGGTTTTGGGGAGTGTTCCAGAACTTCGGCTGGCGCAAATGGAATGTTGTTTTGTAGTAGCAAGGATTCAAGGTGTGCTGTTCTCGTCTCAAGATAGTACACATAACTGTTATAGTTGGGTATTAGCATTCAAAATTCCATCACCAATTCTCATGAAAAGAAAAAGATAAGAAGGTTCACCTCCTAGGAATTTCCCTCTTGGTGATCGGATCATAGCCCACACATTTATGCCCCGCCTTCTCGCAACTTGCACAACTGGGTAAATTCTGATCGCATTTATTCTTCCTCAATCGACATCTGTTACACGCGCTGACATTGCGAAAACTGCTACTCTGTCCCGCCTTACCACCGACAGTTGCCTCAGCCTTCACTGGTATTGGTTCCGCAGGTACAATTTCCTCTGCCGCAATTTTTGGGCTACCATTCTTGACTAGCGGAGTGGATATACTAGGAGGCTCTGGAGGACTTTGTCTCGCTCGTTTGTTCGGGTAACCACTTGCGCTCGTAGGCGGCGAGTGGGGGTTCATCGTTCTATCGTCTTCTCAATGTCGTCGGATCCGCATTCGCTGTGTCTTCTGCGCAATGGGAAAATATCGAGGATGAATTCTGTTGTTAAAAATTGCAATCGCGCATGCGATTGAGTGTATTGACCCTTAATTCTGTCTATTCTCTCTCATCCTGCTCTTTCTCAACCTCCGACTTTGCGATTGTGTAATGTTAAATTCCCACTCTCCAATACGATCGCTCCGTAATCTTTCCGGCCCTCTCGGCGAAAATGTCAGATGTTTTCGTTATCGCAGTTTCAAGAGAGCGTTCCTTTCCAGTGTTCGAGAGATCTTTTTGTATCAATGCAACATTATTGAACGAGAGCCGCCTCTTCCTCTAGAATATGCGTGGGGTTTACCTTTACCCGTGATTCAAAATGTACACACCTAGAGTAGATGCAAAAAAAATCCATGGATTGAACATTTCACGGTGCCTAGGCTCAGGCTAGGGTCGATAATGCCACTCCCACTCAATGGCACTGATAGATAGATAGGCGATTGATGGAGCTGAATGATAAGAGCTTCGACCAATTGAATACCATCATCCACTGATTACTCCATACCTGGTTCATCTTATTTGTACACGGAAGGTGGGTACGGAACTCTATCAGCACTGTTGACTCGATAGCATCGAGTAAAGCTTTGCTTTGCGGCGTGGGATATCTAATCGATCGAGGATTACTTGCTTTCAGAGGTGAGAGGGTAGTAAAAGGGGCGTCACACTAAGTAATCGGTAAAATTGATCAATAAAGGGAAGGACTGAAGTACATATTTCATTTCAGACATTCATTCAATGTTTGTTCAAATCAAATTATTTGAAGGATTGATATATAAACAAGTAGCCCCCCATGTCATCGACAGGAATCATAAAACTACCTAAACGCCAGATAATATGCAAGCCAAGCCAACCGTTGATTCTTCCAAGTCAGCCGAAAAAATAATCTGCAATTGGAACCGCAGTCCGGCGGTCCATCCCTAGTAGGTAGTGCGATAATGATATTTCCCTTTTGTCGAAACTCCTACCGTCCTTGTAGTGCAAAGAACTAAATACCGTTTTTGCAAACGACCCAATTATGTATAGCACCATAACCCCAATTACGCCCAAAATAAAACCTAATATAAATACCATCACCGTGATGTATAACGCTCAAAGGCATGAAGGGATATCTAACGTCGAAATAAGAACCCCACGGAAATTGCCCAAGATGGCCCAAAATGCTTTTTATACAGATGCCTTCCCGAAAGCAGTCTTCAAGAATAGAATTGTTCGAAAAGAAATCTCATAAGTCGTGAATGTGTAGGAAAGGTGACCGCAATGTCGTCTAATGTTCGACAATGATGTGTCTTGGCTCGGCGCCAGCGGCGATGCCAGTATCAGGAGCACAATGATCAAGCATTGCATCATCGAATGCTTGCTCATGGTCCTCTTCACTCTTCTCGTCAACATCCATTCTTCCTCCCTTGTCAGTCATGTAGAGACTGATAACAGCACCAATCATAGCAATGATAGCACTGCACCACCACGCAAGACCAGAGTAACCTAAGCTAGCACCAGCCGACAAGAGGAAACCTGAGACCGTCGGGCCAAAGGCTCTGGAAATACTGGCAGTTGATGCTGCAACACCGTTGATGGTGCCCAACATCAGAAGCGACGGTGCCGAATTAGTCAACAGAATAGCATTGCTTGGATAGGTCATTGTCGAGAAAGTGCATTTCCAGATGACAACCGCATACAAACCAATCATTTTAAGATTCTCTGGGAGTAAGACCAAGTAGGGTGTTACAATATAGAGGATTGGATAAGAAATTGCCATGGTTCTGAACAAGTTCAAAGCTCCCAGTCGTCGAACAACGATTGGGAATAAGAAAATTGTAGCAATCATCGAATATAATCCTTGGACCGAAAGAACCACGCCGACATCTGAAGAGCTCATTCCATATGTACCGACGAACTTAAAGGGCAATTGAGGTTCTGGGAATGGTGGAGCATCGTCCTCTTTTTTGTAGGAAAGCATCGTTGGAAGCATGGAATCGAAAGTCATTGTGTGGCTGGAAATCTCGGGTCAGTTACTCAATTCGTATGGTCGTGCAGCTGGAGAAACGTGAAACAGGTGAACTTACTAAGCCAAGATACCATAACCGATAATATTGATGACGACCTGTCTCGTAAAAGCCTTCGTTGCTGCAGGTTTAGTTCTTGCAGGAACAACAAATTGATCATGTGCATTCAAATCCAGGGTTTCTTGCGGGTCCTTAGAAGTCACAGTCGACGTAAGAGTAGGTGACCCTTGGGTTGTTCGATATCCTGGCGGCTGATCCTCTGAATCACCATTCAACAACGAAAGTATCTCGTCAGACTCTGCCACCTTTTCGCATCGACTATTCTTTAATTCGGCGCATCGTGTGAATTTACTGAGAATCCATTTTCCTGCTTCTAATCCGGGATCCCGTCGGTATTTCTTCTCCGAGTGCGTTTCTTCCAAAAATAAGATTCCGACAATTACTCCGCAAGTTACCACAACTGTACAAACGAGATTGGGAAGTAAGTAAGGGAACTTTTCCCAAATCGATCCTTGCTGAAATGTTCCTGGCCAATTGACTACGGGTCTCGCCAGTGCACCTCCAAGGGACGGGCCTAATATGGATCTGCAGATTGCAACGTTAGTATAAAATTGTTGAGAGCTGACAAGAGCTGACAGTTAGTTCGAACTCACCCGAGACACCAAACGAATGGCATGATTGTATATGCGCGAGCTATGACTTGTCAGAACGAGGCTCCGAAACCCAAAGTGATAGATCACTTACGCTGATGTTCTTTCACCGTCACCATCTCGGCCACAGTAGTCTGTAAAACGCCAATATTTCTAGAAGAAGCAATTCGTCAGATTTTATTGCCTCAAACAATAAAAAGGGGGGCGGAAGCATGGATCCATACCCGTTCAATAGACCACCCAGCGCGCGTGCCAACAATGCTGTTGGCAGATTGGGCGAGAATCCAAAGATGAGCATACTCAAAGCCGTACCCGCAAGCCCGGTAAGCAGAACTGGTTTTCGTCCGATTTTATCACTCAGTCGACCCCAAGCCACTCCAGACGAGAATTCTGCGAAAGCGAAAGCCGATGTGACCATGCCACAGTACATGAAGATTTGAGCATCGTTGTCGGTAATGTGGAAATCTTTGACCATGAAATATATATAGGGGAAAATGCTCATGAAGGCAATGGGTTCGCAAATCCGACATAGTGCTAGAGGATGGATATCAGTGATTGTACAGTTGAAATAATTACTGCAATACTGCTGCTGTATAAGTCACAATGATAGTTACACAAACGTACCCAGGATTGTCATTTGCTTCGTGGGGAATGGAGGGGTCCGCCTCCGCGCTCCCGTCTGTCCTGCCGCGGATTGCATGTCCGCTATCTCTTCTGTAAAGCTTCGATAGGGAATTGTGAGTTGAAGTGGTTGTTTAGATAAGTATCGTAGTAGATTTGATTGTTTGAAAGAACTTGACGAGAATGTAAAATTTGGGGAAAATTCGGCGTTTCAAAAGGTGGAAGTATGTTTATATATTGTTCGATCCTTCCAAATATAATTTCTAGTTTTGCTTTATGTAGTGCAATCAAACTTTATATGATTGATTTGGGTAGATGCATGAGCAATATGTAGTTAGAGAAAAGCAAATACGTGCAGCAGGTCTTTGCTTTACCGTGAAAGAAGAAAAGAAAAGAGTTGTGGGATCGAAATGTTCAAAAAGTCGATGAGTAGCAGGGCAAGAAATATGTAGCTGACCGCTGGATGGAGACCTTTAGAAGCACAATCAGACGTAGCGGGTAGTAGCGGCGCCGACTTTAATACATATCTGATTACTGGTACTGGTATGGTATGGTATTAACATTAAGCGGTGACGAACTTGCTACATTACTGTCGTGGCTCATCCCTCCCTTGCTAAGGCCTGTTGAGCGAGCGAGCGTTGTCTCTATGGGGCAGCGCACATAGGTTTGGGCCTTCGAGCTAGAAGCCGTGTATGATTATGAGTGAGAACGACGGTACTACCGTACCCACACGTCCCGGCAATTGGCTCCGTGACCCGTTGGGCTAAAGATGAGGGAGAATTTTAAAGAGGGAAGATTATTTAGAAATTATTGTTTGCAGGCAACTCACATGGAGGAAACCCTGCCCTGTCACAACTTGAGTGGATTAGGTCTTGGGTTCAGTAGCGTCGTGGATCAGGGAAAAAAAGGATAGTGACCATGGCTCGATTTGCAGGGGCTGTGGCATTTCTTACTTGCGGCGGCGGTGTGAATGGTGGAGGAAAATGTGAAAGTTTGAAAATGCTTGGGCTTTAATGACACTGCCATAGTGTCATCATCATAACATGTTTTGTTTTGCTTCTGCTGGTGGAGCGTGAGTGTTGCCGTTATGCCAAAACAGGTATTAGATGCCAGTTCTCTTCACACACACTAGGGCTCATTCTCTATAGATGCATTCTTAGAGCTTCTCAACTTCAGTTACCTACATGGAGACAATGGCATGATGTTATCATCCCATCTATCCATTTGTTACATTACATGCATTCTATTTATTGGGTGTGAAGATCACCCCGGAAAACACTTCGACAAGGCAGGGAAGGGAATACAACCTGGACAGACATCATCAAGTGTGCTGTGCTACTTTCCTTTCTGTAGTCTTGAACGGAAAGGTGTAAGTAATATTGTGTTGTATTATTCCAACTGCAGTCGATGTGCAAAAAGTAATGATACTCTAACCTTCAGCTTTTTCCCTCCCTCGTGTTCGCTTTGGGCATTTCGACTACTGCCAAGCTTTATAAAATGGAGTGCTAGATGCGATGATTAAGCCCCAGAAAAGCTTCATTTGGCTCATACGTCGGTAATCCATTTGCTGTAGAAGGCCAAACTTGGAATATACTTTATCATGGCCTTCGAAAGCAAGAGGTCTGAGTGGTTAGTGCGTGTAATCACAGGTGCGGGGGTTGATTTCCAGGTTGATTTCCTTCCTCATCCAATTATTAAAGTCACAACAGAGGGCGCGCTGAACGGAAGCAAGAGCCTTAACGTTCAACCCCACGACAGCTGATACCAAATGACATTCCGATGAGTCCAGGTGCTTCTTCACTCAAGGTTTCCTTCAGGGCTCAAGCTTTTCCCTGCATGGCCTCCGTGTCATGTAAAGCAATATTAAAAGTTGGCTTACAGTATGTGTTGCGGGCAGCTACATCATTCGCCGGCTTTCCACAGTTTTGTTGCATTCTCAAATTTCGATATCGTGAAGATTACAATTGTTTATCATTCGGTTGCATTGCCGCTAGATACCACCCTACATCTCACCTAGAAGTTCCAAGGGCCTAAAAGTCAGCAATTGTTGTCAAGGCGCGAAGAAAGAACTATTTCCGAAGATCAAATAGAAGCTAATGGTAGGGTTACTATTGGTACGCACATCGGTTGCTATACCGTGACTTACTGCCTCTGACTCTGTAGCTCTTTCCATGGTGATTGCCCGCGAACAAGAGGTATATCCACAACAGCTCCATTATGGAAGTGGTCATGTTACATAGAGAATAGCAAAACTAGGATAAAGCATGGCTACCCTGCCTGCTGAAAAGATAGAGACTTGGTTTTGTCGTATCTAATTGGGATTTACTGGGGATCTTGTCCCGAGACCCAGAGCAGTGGAATATGCCCTGTTTTAGCCCTGTACTCGACTCGGCCCTGTCGATTTCTAATCTTTTGTGCCTCGCTAACTAACTTACTCGGATAAGATCTATTGATAGATTAGCAATCCGACCAGGCGGCCTTGCAAATCAAATGACTTACCTACGGTGTTTTCGATTCAAGATTTGATCATTACTAGTCAGGGGTATTTGACCCAAAGGAAATGGAAAAGACACAAAACGGCAAGATGATGGGATCCCCATGGATGATAATAGAAGAAAAGAGCAGGGTAAAAAAAGTATGGTAACACAAGAAGATCCCCGGTAGCTATTCCTTGTAGTGTAGCTTGCCCGCTTTACTTGATCGGAGGGGGTTTTCGTATTTGTACTCTTGAAATGTAGCTTGGAAAGATACATGTCTTCACAAAGGGTACAGATGATCTGGTTTCGATCTCTAAGCAAATGTGGCAGGACGGGATAGGTTGAAGAGAATTGTAGCAGCAGTAACGTAATGCTTAATATACTCAAGGTAACGATGATCTATCACCGAGTGCTATATGTATGTTTGTATGCTACATATATGTATGTAGGTGTCCTCAAGCCTCTGTTGGTTCTTCGTTGGCTATAGTAAGCGTAAGCTGCGTTTAACAACTTCGAGAGAAGTTACTTCTTGAAAATTGCAGGGACCAGTAAGAAATTGGATTCCGAGTCACAAAGTTACTTTTCTTAGCTCACTTTATGTTACCCTATACAGCAAGTGGCAGAATTCTCAAAGTCTATTCGTGTAGATCGAACAAGCTGCGAGATGCAAGTAGCACGAAAGTAAACTCGGATTTATTTTCCGTCTTGCACTAAATACGTCAATTGTCGAAGCAACATCCATACAAGAATCTCCGTCAATAGGTCAAGGATCGGGTCTCTCTAGGAAGACCGTTGGTGCCGCGGAATCGGGACACAGGAACATGGATTAGAGAAGAAATGAAAGCTTCCTCGAATGTTCCATTCGAAAGGAAATGAGCCTTAGCGCCTTCGCGTCCTTGGAAGTTTGTTTCGCATACGAAGATAGAGCCAAATGACAAGGTTTATGCAACTTAATTTTCAATGGGTCAAACAACTAGGGGAAATGAAAAATTGGATCGATTGGATTGGATCGAAGCCAACTCGCAGCAAGCCGAAAAAGCCATATGAAAGAAAACCGGTCCTTGCCACGTTTTGTTGTGGCACCCCATCTTCGATAATGACGATCATTATAGGGGGTGCCGTAGCTGGAAGGCTGGTAGAAGGGTTCAAAGAATTTCAAGGTCAGGCATGGTTTCCTTAGTGGAGCACCCTCAGCTACATTTTAAGATAAAAGGGGCTCAAGCAGAAGCAGTTTGTAACTAATAACTCTAGTAGCAAAGGCTAAAAGATGGTGTGCTTGTTCCAAGATCAGAAAGCAGGCCAAGGTTGGCTGATTGGTATCAGAGAGCTTCGCGGAAGTTGTTCCTAGACCCGTAGCGAGTAAATCCGAACGAATGATGTTACGAATTCGATGGTTTGCCATCTAAAAAAACTTTCGAGTGGTGTGGTTTAATATTTGGCGTGGTCGTGCAAAAGTTTGAACTGTACCTGTTTCGGGCCATTCCTTGACGCTTACCGGCGCAGGATAAGTGTTCCGAACTTCCCATTCAGCTTTTTTCTCTTGGGTATGCGTTACACAAATATCAAGTTGGCCAAAATTTCTTGCAGTATTCGCAATTTTGACGCCGAGGGGTTTAACGAAGCGATGAAGGGGTACAAAAGCCTCAATAGACGCGTTGTATTCTAGAAGGAAAAAAAGGATCCGGCACTGGTTCTATGGATCTACTTATCGATCCATTCATACACATCATACACATCGCACTTTCGGTTTTTTTTCTAACCCCAATGTCTCACAACTTCATCCATTTTTTCTATTCACCTTCTTATATTCGTAAAGTATCGCCCAAGTTCCCAACAAACAACAACGCTGTTCCCTGAATATACAGAATGATTCTCAGTTCCCACCCAACATTCAATTCCCGAGAACAATATCTGTGTAACTCACTGTCTATTTATTTGAAAAGACCAATGAAATTGTTAATCTCGAATTGATACACCGCCAGTTGTAAGTTCTCGTTCCTGCGATAGTTTTCCTTTTTCCTCAAATCTCGATGTTGTTCAATAGATTCACGCCACAATCCAAGGGGTTGTTTGATTTGATGATTGTATTGCCTCGCGGAATTTCGGATGTCGAATTCTGAGTGGTACTGTTGGTATATGCACTTATGTTTCTCAAGTACTCTATTTGCTCATGTTACGATTTGGAGGGGTCACAGGATTCTCGGAAATATCTATCCTGCATCGTTTGCTAAGTAATAATCCTGTGGTTTTTCTTTTTTTCGGGTGCAAAATGAAGATCCCGGAGACCCGCGGACACCACTTTTGGGAGACATTTTTGGATTGCGACCTCCTACAGACCTATATGACTGCTGCAATGTCGCGCACTACAAGAGATGCATCTGAGATTTGTGGCGTGGTACTTAGGCTTTGAAGTCAAAATCTTACTATCCACTCAAAGATCTTCATGTGTCCTTATTTCTTGCCCATTGAAGAAAGTATTCCGATGGTTGAGACTCCGGACAGAGTCAAAAAAAATCATTCCATGGGTTGGGGAAGTCATCCGGCGCATCGAACGTGCATTGCAGCGGCTACGCACATTGCAGCCCAGTCATATATCAGCAGT